TTTTACAGCAACCACAAAGATCTCCGTCAATAAATCTATTCGAAACTCTTAACTAGTTACCGTTCCTAGACAGATGTAAATACCACACGCGGTGCTTGTTTTTAAAAACTTTAAATAACATGGCTCCGACTTATATGACAGAACTGATGACTTTATCCGACAACAAAATATATAACTTAAGATCTAGGTCACAAAAAGATATTGTATTATGGACAAGACCTAAAACAAATTATATTAAAGACACATTTTCTTATTATGGCATGAACATTTGGAACAATATACCTTTAAACATTCGTAATGTTAATAACCTTAAATGTTTTAAAGAAAAATACAAAGCATATCTTGATGTTCATATGAATGAATGAGTGAATGAATGAATGAATGAATGAATAAATGAATAAATGAACGAACGAACGAATGATGCAATATACGTATATGTTTAAACAATTGTTGAGTGTCTGTCGAAAGTATATGAGTTGTATTATTCTAAAAATTACATACTATACATTCATTTTTCTACCTAAGCATGTCCTGTTGTTGTTGTTGTTTTCTATTTCAGAAGGCCACATTGGAAATAAGATATATATGATTGTTATTGTATGTTCTTAATGTGTAACCTTCTTTAAATAAAGATATTATTATTATTATTATTGTGTTTTCACTTTAACTTAAAGTTGAAATTTTCTAATATTTGTGTTATGTGTAATACAATATTTGTGTTATGTGTAATACAATGGTGAAAGGGAACAGAAAGCTCATTCTCGGAAAAACGTCAGTTCTTCACGACAACCACTTTGGTATCGTGGAAGACGCTACTTTGATTTCATGACGGATACTGCTTGACCTTTCTGAAGGAAACTCCTTCTACGGCCTTGGAAAGGGTGACGCTTTAATATCGTAGATGAAGATACCATGGTATGGTGAAGTATGCTGATTTAATATCAAGGAATATGATACTTTTCCTCCTTTGAGGGACGCTGCTTTATGTGGATGAGGACGCTGCATTGATTTAATGGAGGATGCTGCTATGATTTCCATAGAAGATGCTGCTATGAATGATATATTACGTAAGTGATAACTATACAGACGTGTACAATAATATCGATTTAATACTGTTGTTAATTAAATATTTAAAAACATGTACATACACAATCTTACTAAAGTTTATTTCTGATATATAAAATCTGATGTTTCGAATTGTTTATAATTCGGATTTCCCGAGAAAGTAATTTTTAGCCAAGTTTACAGAACTATTAAAATACCGTTATCCTTGAAAGTTAAACATATTGTTGATGTTTTGTAAGAAAAAAATGTTTTTTAACAAATTAATTTGAAATAATAGAGCCAATTTTTAATGGACAAGATTGTTTTGCCAGTTTCCCTGCCGGCTATAAGGACAACGCCATGTTTGTTAACGATTTGCACATGTTTTGTGTCAAACCGGTGTTATCAGTGTCTTGACAGCCAAAAACTTGTAGAAAAATAGAACGTGTTCTAACTTTCTTGCAAGGAATTATCTTCTTGGATGTCACATAATTTCTCTTTAAAACTCATTCAAGTAGGGTGTCTACACTATCCAATACAAGAGAATATGATACTTGCATTCAAGACTTGGATAGGTGTAGACGGGCTTATAATTATTATAATATATATATTAGAATTATAAATCACATCGCTTTCAAAATTATGAAAGCTCGCCGATGATTGGCTGTATAAAAGGTCACCAGAAATGATTTCGTATGTTTACGGTTACATCTTAAAGCGGAACGTTATTTATGGCTGATTTTAATTAGATTGTGTACATACATTAGCCTATTTACACCATGACAAGATTATTTATAATATATTGCATCTAATCGTTGTGTCAGTGCTTGGGACGTGCGCAGTAGCTAGTCTATCTAGCCTCCAACATTTAAGCCAGTCTTTAAGTTGTATTTAAATAAATGTCCTGTTTTTTAATGTAATGCTTCACGGTTCCAAAAGACTCACGTTAGTAATACAATTGTCACGTGTCTTTAATGTTTTTATTGGACGCTCCAAGAAAGTGTTCTAAACGCCAAATTCAAATCAGAAAGTAAACATATAAGCGCGACACGCACGCATCATGATAAAATATGAGCCGTGTCACGACAAAACCAACATAATGGGTTTGCGACCAGCATGGATCCAGACCAGCCTGCGCATCCACGCAGTCTGATCAGGATCCATGCTGTTCGCTATCAGTTTCTTTACTTGTTATAGGATTTGTAAGCGAACAGCATGGATCCTGATCAGACTGCGCGGATGCGCAGCTGGTCTGGATCCATGCTGGTCGCAAACCCATTATGTTGGTTTTGTCGTGACACGGCTCAATTATAATTTTTAAGTTTCAGCACTACACTTCGCCTGACAGCTCATCTTTGTTAAATGCATCATTGGTATAGAAAACAGTAAACCGGCTATTCCTGTCGTCCGCTTTTTTCCTGAAATGAAATCAAAATAATGATTTTGAATATATTTAGATAGGCTTTATAGTGCCCCCCCCCCCCTACCCCTTCAAATATCACAGAATTGCTCACATGCATCTTTCGTTCACAAAGCTGTGCTTTAGTTGTTGTTGTTGTTGCTGTTATTGTTTTGTCCAACACAGACTGAGCATGCGCGAGAAAATACAAACATTCAGGGAATCGAGACAATGGGAGGCGTTGTAAACAGGTCTATATTAATACATATGTCAGCAATAACAAAAAAAATCTGTCTTTAGAATATTTAAATAAGTGAAAAATGTTCCATCTATTCTAACTGGAATTATTCAAAATAAGATGCCCTTAATATTTCACGTTTCCTTAAATTTTCAATTAACTATTGCATAAACTTGTAAAAAGTTCAAAATCATATGAAACAAGTCAAATGTGTTTGTCCAAAGATAAGTTACAAGAAAATGATAGTTTTATAAATAATTGTAATTTTATTCGACAATCATTTCGCCTGTATAACTTTTTGTATTTCTTATTTTTTCTCTACCAGTTCACGTCTAATTACTATTATTGAAACACTTAATAATAAAAATCTTATATTACAATCTTACATGCATTACAAATCATCTAAAAATGTACAGCGCCCTCCTATTTAAAAAAATGTTATAATCATGTCTAAAAGGGTACGTGGGAACTGTCTAAAATTATACAGTGCCTGGAGAAAATTATTATGATAATAATTATAAAAGGCACGATTTAATATAAAAAAGAAACACATATTTTAACTTATAGTCACGAGTAAGCCCCTAAACAATCATCATCGTGTGGCCACGAATTAACATTTGTCTTTCAAAAAGATCCCACGTGTCCCGACAGTGCTTCCGCACTTTAGATTAGACGTTAGAATTGTAAGTACTAACTTTCCAAATTGGACAGCGTCAAACACAGTTTCCGGAAGTGGTTTTCCATTGGTTTCCGGGAGAAGAAGTGACGTCATACCAGCTATGACAGAACAAGCTCCAAACATGATCTGCGGCAAAACCTCTCCGAACGAACCATGTACATACTTTCCCTGAAATTAAAAAAAAAAGATATTCAGTAGATTTATGATTTTTTTATTAATTTATTTTTATAAGGGGCAATGGTATCAGGATATTGTTTCGGAGTCAGATAAAGGAAAAGATAAACGGAACTAAGATTCGGACAAGAGAAAAGTGAAACTATTTTATTTGAACTAAAGATAAAAAAAAATTCATTACATAGGGAATGTAGTGTATGCTGCAAATTTGGAGCCTGATTAACATGTATATCTCATACAACAAGGCATGGCATACATGTCGGAGAAATACGGTGTTCCGTAAGGGCTATCACCTATAAAAGAAGAAATTTGAAACGCGAAAAATCAAAAACGCGAAGGGACGTTATCGATGACGAAAACAAGAAGAGAAAAAGCAAAAACACGACACCGCGAAGAGACAGCGACGAAAATGCGAAGACACTATGACGAAAATGCTATAATTATAGACTTCAATTTTTGAGTTTTCGTCATCAGGTCTGCGCGTTTTCGTCATCGTCTGTTCGCGTTTTCCCGTTTTCATACTTTCGTGTTTTCGCGTTTTCGTCCCGTCGTCATTTCGCCACCGTCCTTTCGTGTTTCTGACTTTTGCGTTTCAATTTTTTTCTTCGTAGGCGATGACACTAACGGAACACCGTACAGAAACCTGAAAAAAATGTTTAGTTACAAAACGTTCCAACATTATTAATTTTATTAACTTTATTTCTTGTCAGAAAAATATATATTAACTATTAACAGGGCTGTATATTAATGGTGTTAAGGAAATCTAGCAATTTATTAATAAACAAAAATGTGCAGTTGTACAACACCATGGTGTGCTTTATTTCTATTTCTCACCCAATTTGTTATTTGTTTCAATATTTATCTTGATGCCGAAACATTGATAAGCAAAAGCAATTAATTTATAGTCACGTGATTGTTCTGTCCTAAAATTATCTCTCACCCAGGAATATATAAAAATACTGACTTCTATTATGTCCTGATTATTATGTCCTAAGTGAACTTAAAATTTCTATGAAATCCACCTAAATGAAGAAATTATGTAATAAAGCATTCTACATGTTTTTCTCATTTTTACCTTATCAAGTAATTACTTATGTCAGGAGTGATTTTTTCTGAAACATATGTAGTTGTCACGTCATATGTCATCAGGCCCTGTGTTCACACACAAATTAGCCGCGTCATGACAAAACCAACATAGTGTGTTTGCGACCAGCATGGATCCAGACCAGGCTGCGCATCCGCGCAGTCTGATCAGGATCCATGCTGTTCGCTTACAAACCCTATAACAAGTAGAGAAACTGACAGCGAACAGCATGGATCCTGATCAGACTGTGCGGATGCGCAGGCTGCTCTGGATCCATGTTGGTAGCAAACCCATTATGTTGGTTTTGTTGTGACGCTGCTCAAATGATCCATATATAAATCATTCAAGACAAAGATAAAGCGTACCATGTCAGAGATATATGGTGAAGTCATGCTTCCTGCAAAGCCAACTACACTGCTCGTACCGATTCCAGAGTTTCGAACCTTTGTCGGAAATAGTTCTGCTGACCAAACATAGATGATAGAATGCGAGGCAGTAATATCCAAAACTTACCGATATAAGACAAAACCAACGTGATCCAATATAACGCTGAAACAAATGGTACACAAAATAAGTAAGCGAATTGCCACAAAAAAAAAAAAACAATATAAACTTAGCAAAAATATAGGTTTAATTTTTAGGTAGTTCATATATATCCATTAAATTAAAAACTTTTCAAAAGTTTTGCTTAAAAGAGTGTACATAATAATATAATGATAAACAAGCAAATAAGTTGAATTTATATCCCCCGCCGAGTACTGGTTATTACTTACACAACAACTGAAGACATATGGCTTTATTTATATATTTTTATCATGGCGTAAACAGTAATAATCTTTGCACATGATAAACATTCAGTGCAATAACAGAGCCATAACTCCGTATAAAATAGTAATATCAGGTCATGCCATTGAGATGTAAATTGCCTTTTTGTATCTATCGTTCCTATAAGGTTTTGTTGAAATCAATACAGCAGTTGCATAATTAATCAAGGGCCATAACTCTGAGTTGAAGTGTCAGACCGGAACAAGGCGACGATATGCGCATCTCCTCTTGGTATTGAAAGTTCCACTTAAAGTTTCGTTGAATTCCAGCCAGTAGTTACAGAGAAGAAGCGCGGAAACGATTATTGCTCTATATGGATACATGTACTGCATAACTAATCAAGGGCCATAACTCGGAGTTGAAAGATCTCACCGGAACAAGCCGACTATATGCACATCTCCTCTTGGTATTGAAGCTTCCTATTAAGTTACGCTGAATTCGAGCCAGTATTTGCAGAGAAGTAGCGCGGAAACGATTTTTGCTCTATATGCATAATGCATAACTAATCAAGGGCCATAACCCTGAGTTGAAGGGTCTGACCGGAACAAGGCGACGATATGCGCATCTCCTCTTGATATTGAGGGTTATCATAAAGATTCGTTGAATTCCAGCCAGTAGTTGCAGAGAAGTAGCGCTGAAACGATTTTTGCTCTATATGCATAGCTAACCAAGGGCCATAACTCCGAGATAAAAGGTCTGACTGGAACAAGCCGACAATATGCGCATCTCCTCTTAATATTGATGATTCTCATAAAGTTTTGTTGAATTCCAGCCAGTAGTTGTAGAGAACTAGCGCGGAAACGAAATTCGGACGGACGGATGAAAGGACGTTCTAACGGGACAGTAATTATGTGGCTACTCTATTGTTCTCTCTATTGTTCTTTTTAGGCACACAAAAGAAAATAGCCACATAAAAGCATTACCGAATGAATGACATCAAAGAGAAAGAACAGTTACCTATTGTCCCTCTAGCCACATTATTACTGTCCACTGAGAGCGGAAGGACGGACGATGGACGGACGAACAACGCCAAAACAATACCCCCCTTCCGATTGCATATGCGGGGGATAATTATGTATGAACCCTCAATATGTCCAATATTATCATTGCTCTTGAAATTATGTACATTCAGCTAGCAACCATATTAAGTGTTACATGGCTAGCATAAAGATGCTTTTCTGATGTAATTAGTCAAATTTTAGCCATTAAATTTCTAACAATACTTAAAACCATGAAACAAAATGAAATGAAAAGAAAAATACTTACATTTGTCAAAAAACAACATGACAAACACTGATAGAATACAGGCTCCGCCACAGAAGAACAATGTTCCTACCAGAAGGCGTTTTCGGCCTGTTTTGTTGAGCAAAAGGAAACAGAAAGTGTATGCTAACATTTCCATGCTGCTGATTATCGCAAAATTCACAAATAAATCTCCATCCATATTCCCAACATTTAAGCTGATTCCAAAGTTAACCATAATGATAACAAACCTGAACGAAAACACCAGAAATGAGATTTAGATTATTCACCATTGCTATCCCGGTGAATTGAAGCTTGAAGTTTAATATGCTTAGACAAAATATAATATTGAGTTTTAAATATGAATTTTTAATAAAATTGGCTCTGGAAAATTACTAAAATATTGCAAACATGAATGTGCCCTAGATTAAAACACCTTGTCACGTATTTCTTTTACAAAGAGTCACCAATTCATGTTTATTGCATAATTAAAAAACGTTCGGACACAAGACTCTTCATAAGTAGCAAGAATAATTCGTAAGCATATTTATGTAAATCATCTTGAATAGAAACTACAAAATTTTCAATGAGTCATTGCTCTTGAAAATGTTTTGATAAAAATATGGCTTACCAGTTCAAGTAAATGAGGAGGGTTCTTATCAACAAGTTAGGTATAGTGCACATTTTGAGAACACTCTCAGGTTCAATGTCATCTTTGGTATTTTTACTTGAAGTATCAGTAAGTGCTTTTTTACCATTAATGTTTTCCCATTCCAGAATAACAGCATTGGCCTCGATAAACCGACCTTTTGACTTCAACCATCTTGGCGATTCTGGTATTATCCTGAGACAAAATAAAAAAGTATATTTCAGAAATACTCAGACGTGATAAACCATGCTTAAGCTTTAATATAAATATCAATTCAGCAACCTGGTAATAACTTTACGCTTGAATTACCCTTTCTTTGCTTCGAGGGATCACTATTATACCGAGGGTGATTTTTCAAAAACAATCAGATGCCATGCATGCGTTTTTTCAAAGAGTATATATTTAAATAAGAAGGCATGTATTCGATAGAATATTTGTTTGTATCTTTATGAAATCGCGTCAAAGTTCATTCACTTGAAAGATCATGGGGGCATAAACAGATGCTTATTTAAACAAAATCTTGGCTGAATCAGGACCTATTTTTGCCTATTATTCATTGACTATGAATTTTATGCACTGCCATGATTCTTTTTTACACTAACCATAAACACACAAAGAGAAGCACCGCCAGTGAAGCCATGACTAGAAGGATCATGTCCCAGCTGCGTGTGACGTAGGCAAGAAAACACAAGATGTATAGTCCTACACACCATGCCATATCTAGCATGTAGCTAGCCGCAACTCGCTTTGATGGAATCACAAGTTCCATTCCTACATGAAGTAACAAGATCATAAATCGGAATATTTTTCGGTCGTAGACAGTTTATATCGCTTTAACTTCCGGTAGGTATTCGGGCTATTCGCAATCATTTTCCCGGTAATTTTCGGACAAGTAATCCGATGCATAAAGTCATTCATTTCATGAACTGTGGTCAATGAAAACTATAACAATCTGATGACTGTCAAATTATTTACAAATCTTTAATATTTTCAAATTTTGAAAGAAAAAAGATTCACATTGTTTCACATACCTAAAACAAACGACGAGGTGTACATTCCTGTACATGAAACTCCAATGATAAACCTCATGGCAACGAAAAAGATGTAATCAGTAGCGAAAGCAGATCCAAACGCACCGCCTACATGCATTAATGTACTAAAGATCAATACTTTCTTTCGACCGAACCTGAAAATGTAAAACCGAAAGATAAAATGTAAGTTGCAATATCACAAAAATCTATACATGTATTATTTGTTTCTGTTATACACTGTAACATGTGTGAATGTAAATTGTTTACCCTCAAGTTGCCGAATTTCTTATAAGTCCATCTTCCAGTTTTAGAAATGTTCATTTTCAAATTTAGGGATATCTAGTTTGTAATTTTAATTTACTATGTCTAGCATTTAGCCAACGTAGCCAACTGAATACAGAATTGATCAGTTATACAAGACACTGACGTTTATATGGTATGTGAGAAGTTAGCAGTTAACAGTGAGCTAAGCAAAAAGGCATTACGATTTATATAGGGAAATCAATGATCTGCTGTTATGCTCAGCTGGGTAAACAATCTAGCAGAGCATTCCAAAATAAAGTGTAGAAATGCTTTGCTGGTATGCTCAGCTGGGTAAGCAATCTAGCAGGCCATTACTAAATATAGTGTAAAAATGCTCTGCTGGTATGCTCAGCTGGCTAGGCAATCTAGCAGGGCATTCCTAAATATATTGTAAAAAATACCCTGCTGTTATACTCAGCTGGCTAAGCAATCTAGCGGGGCATTCCAAAATATAGTGTAAAAAGCTCTACTGTTATGCTCAGCTGGCTAAGCAATCTAGCGGGGCATTCCCAAAATATAGTGTAAAAATGCTCTGGTGGTATGCTCAGCTGGCTAGGCAATCTAGGAGGGCATTCCTAAATATAGTGTAAAAAATACTCTGCTGTTATACTCAGCTGGCTAAGCAATCTAGCGGGGCATTCCCAAATATAGTGTAAAAATGCTCTGCTGGTATGCTCAGCTGGCTAAGCAATCTAGCGGAGCATTCCAAAATATAGTGTAAAAAGCTCTGCTGTTATGCTTAGCTGACTAAGCAATATAGTGGGGCATTCCAAAATATAGTGTAAAAATGCTCTGCTGTTATGCTCAGCTGGCTAAGCAATCTAGCGGGATATTCCAAAATTTAGTGTAAAAATGCTCTGCTCTTATGCTCAGCTTGGTAAGCAATCTAGCGGGGCATTCCAAAATATAGTGTAAACATGATCTGCTGGTATGCACAGCTGGATAGGCAATCTAGCAGGGCATTCCTAAATATAGTGTAAAAATGCTTAGCTGTTATGCACAGCTGGCTAAGCAATCTAGCGGGACATTCCAAAATGTAGTGGTAAAATGCTCTGCTGAATTGCACAGCTGGCTAGGCAATCTAGAAGAGCATTCCTATATATAGTGTTAAAAATACTCAGCTGGCTAGGCAATCCAGCAGAGCATTCCTAAATATAGTGTAAAAATGCTCTGCTGGCAAGCTCAGCTGGCTAAGCAATCTAGCAGAGCGTTCCAAAATATAGTGCGAAAAATGCTCTGCTGGTATGCTCAGCTAGCTAAGCAATCTAGCAGGGCATTCCTAAATATAGTGTTAAAAATGCTGAGCTGGCTAGGCAATCCAGCAAAGCATTTTGAAAATTAGTGTAAAAATGTTCTGCCGGAATGCTGCGCTGTCTAGGCAAACTAGCAGAGCATTCTTAAATAAAGTATAAATTTCGTTGGTCTGCAACTGATTATTTGGCACTCGTAGACTTTCTAAAATATTTAGTGCCAATGCAGATAATGACATTTTTTACTTCTACGGGACCCTTAAGTGTCTATTTCTTTGGTCTCCGACTGATTCTGGGACGATCGCAGACTTTCAGGAATTGTTGGTGTTAATGCAGATAATGACATTTGTGAATTTTTAGGACCATCCAGAGTCCATTTCGTTGGTCTGCGAATGTTTCTGGAACACTCGCAGACTTTCAGAAATGTTCGGTGCCAATGGAGATAATGACATTTTTACTTCAAAAGGACCCTCCTGAGTCTATTTCGTTGGTCTGCGACTGATTCTGAGGCACTCGCAGACTTTCAGGAATTTTGGTGTCAATGCAGAAAATGATATTTCTGACTTTTTGGGACCTTTCTGAATCCATTTTTTGGGTCTGCGACTGATTCTGAGGAACTCACAGACTTTCAGGAATTTTTGATGTCAAGGCAGATAATGACATTTTTTACTTCTAGGGACCATCCATGGTCCATTTTTTTGGTCTGCGACTTAATCTTTGACAGTCACAGACTTTCAGGAATTGTTGGTGCCTATAGAGATAATTACAATTTATGACATTTTTGACCATCCAGAGTCTATTCCGTTGGTCTGCGACTGATTATTGGGCACTTGCAGACTTTCAGGAATTTTTGGTGCTAATGCAGATAATGACATTTTAGGGTAAAAATGCTCTGCTTATGACTAAGGGGTCCTTAAAAGTAAAAAAGTCATGATCTGCAATGGCACTAAATATTCTGAAAGTCTGCGAGTCGCAAGGAATCAGTCGCAGACCCAAGAAATGTACTCTGGCGGTTCCTTAAAAGTCAAAAATGTCATTATCTCCATTGGCATCAAAATTCCTGAAAGTCTGCAAGTGTCCCAAAATCAGTCGCAGACCAGCGAAATGAACTCTGGTGGGTCGCTAGAAGTCAAAAATGTCATTATCTCCATTGGCACCAGAGATTCCTGAAAGTCTGCGAATGTCCCAGAATCAGTCGCAGACCATAAAAATGGAATCTGGCGGGTCCCTAGAAGTAAAAATTGCCATCATCTCTATTGGCACCAAACTTTCCTGAAAGTCTGCGAGTGTCCAACAATACGCTGCAAGCCAATGAAATGGACTCTTAAATGTCCCTAGAAGTCAAAAATATGATTATTAATTCCATTGGCACCAACCATACCTGAAAGTCTGCGAGTGTCCAAGAATCAGTCGCAGACGACCAAAATGGACTATTGAGGGTTCTTAGAAGTCTTAATTATCAATATCAGCATTGGCACCAAAATTCCTGAAAGTCTGCGAGTGTCCTTCAAAAAGTCGCAGGACAATGAAATAGTCTCTTAAAGGTCCTTAGAAGTCAAAAATATCATTATTTCTATTGGCACCGAAAATACCTGAAAGTCTGCGAGTGCCTCAGGATTGCCTAGAAGTCGAAAATGTCAATAAAACTTTGGCAACAATAAATCCTGGAACTCAGAATTAGTCTGCCAACTGAGCATTCAACCAGAGCATTTTTAACTATATTTCGGAATGCCCTGCTAGATTGCCTAGCCAGCTTAGCATTTCACCAGAGCATTTTTACACCATATTTAGTAATGCCCTGCTAGACTGCCTAGCCAGCTGAGCATTCCACCAGAGCATTTTTTCACTCTATTAAGGAATGCTCTGCTATAGTGCCTAGCCAGCTGAGCATTCCAGCAGAGCATTTTTACACTATACCTAGTTATGCTTTGCTAGATTGCCTAGCCAGCTGAGCATTCCACCAGAGCATTTTTTCACTAAATTAAGGAATGCTCTGCTATAGTGCCTAGCCAGCTGAGCGTTCCAGCAGAGCATTTTGACACTATATTTAGCAATGCCCTGCTAGATTGCCTAGCCAGCTTAGCATTCAAGCAGAGCATTTTTACACTATATTTAGTAATGCCCTGCTAGATTGCCTAGCCAGCTTAGCATTCCAGAAAAGCATTTGTTCACTATATTTAGGAATGCCCTGCTAGATTGCCTAGCCAGCTTAGCATTCCAGCAGAGCATTTTTACACTGTATTTAGTAATGTCCTGCTAGATTGCCTAGCCAGCTTAGCATTCCAGCAGAGCATTTTTACACTGTATTTAGTAATGCTCTGCTAGATTGCCTAGCCAACTTAGTATTCCAGCAGAGCATTTTTTTCACTATATTTAGGAATGCTCTGCTATAGTGCCTAGCCAGCTGAGCATTCCTGCATAGTATTTTAACACTTTATTTAGTAATGCCCTGCTGGATTGCCTAGCCAGCTTAGCATTCCACCAGAGCATTTTTACACTGTATTTCGTAATGCTCTGCTAGATTGCCTAGCAGCTTAGCATTCCACCAGAGCATTTTTACACTATATTTAGGAATGCCCTGCTAGATTGCCTAGCCAGCTTAGCATTCCAGCAGAGCATTTTTACACTATATTTAGTAATGCCCTGCTAGATTGCCTAGCCAGCTTAGCATTGCAAAAAAAGCATTTGTTCACTATATTTAGTAATGCTCTTGCTAGATTGCCTAGCCAGCTTAGCATTCCAGCAGAGCATTTTTACATTGTATTTAGTAATGTCCTGCTAGATTGCCTAGCCAGCTTAGCATTCCAGCAGAGCATTTGTACACTATATTTAGTAATGTCCTGCTAGATTGCCTAGCCAGCTTAGCATTCCAGCAGAGCATTTTAACACTATATTTAGTAATGCACTGCTAGATTGCCTAGCCAGCTGAGCGTTCCAGCAGAGCATTTTTTCAGTAAAGCTAGGAATGCTCTGCTAGATTGCCAAGACAGCTGAGTATTGCAGCAGAGCATTTTTACACTATATTTAGGAATGCCCTGCTAGATGCCCAATACAGCTGAGCATTACAGCAGATCATTACCTTCCCTATATAAATTGAAATGCCTTTTTGCTTAGCTCACTGTTCACTGCTAACTTCTCACATACGTTTATATGATTATAAATAAAACTAAGACATTGGTTGTCGCTAACACAAAACAAATGTAACGCAAGAACCCAGTATACCACAACTCAACAAACAATTGTTCTAACCTCAGACCACATGTTCACTGAGAAAAGATGAGGATCAAGATTTTATTTTCATTGCTTTACGATTCTAAAATTGATGGGTATTTTGCTAAAATTTAATGGTACATAAACAAAATGTAAAAAATGCTCATTTGCAAAGAAACAATCCTAATTAGAGATAAAAATAATATTAAATTTATTTTATCATGCTATTTCAAGTCCATTTTTTTCAAGGTGATATTTAATATTTAATCTATGAGGATAAACAGTGGATAATATTTGAGTATTTAAATTTTATCCTGATCTTGATCTCTTTGTTGACTTACATATCGGACAGTAGCCCTATAACTAAAGCACCTGTCATCATACCACTGAAGTAGATCATGTTGGCGTTTGCTCGGGCTATCTCCCTCTTGCACACAAGATTTGCCTTGAAAAACAAATGTATATCCATATTAATAAAGCATTAAGCCAAGTGGAGGTGTCATTAACTAGTATTAATTAAAATTCACAATTTCTTTTCAAGATATTCAGTTTTTAGTTAGATCTACTTTTTTTAGAATTCCAAATTCTGTCTATAAAGTAGAAGATGATAAACATGTTTGCGACAGACACATCCAAAGGCATGTACACACCAGCAAACTGCGTACATAGAAACAGTTTTGTTATGATTTGCTTGTTTGTTTTTAAAAAAAGTCACTCTTGCTTTACTGATGAAAGACAAAAACTGGTACCCCTTCGTACGTTTTTGTCAGACACAAGATGGCCGCTGAGAAGAAGCACCGAAGATAGCTGAATAGCTTTATGATATAAACGAATCAAAAGTTTTTGACGAGATTCGGAGCAACACACTTAACTATTTTATAAACTTTGAGAGAAAACATTTGTTTTGTGTGTTTTCCTTTGATGTAAGTTAGTGAAGATAACCATGTCAAAAAACTATCACTAGCGCATTCTGTTTGAATGTTTAGGTTTAGCAGGACTCAGATGAAATTGAATGACTGCTTAAAAGATCAAACAAAAAAGGTATTTCTGCTTAACAACATGTAACAACCATGTAACAACCATTACATAAAATGCCTTTATTCAGTGCCTACAGCGCTTTGATTATACCTGTGTAATAAAGGTGTCCTTTAACACACTGCTGTCGTACACCCACTTGTTGCACTGCTCTGTACTTGTATTTGAAGGCGGCATATTCAAAGCTGAGTATGATGTACTTAAAGAAGTTTTGTATATTTCACATTGTGAATATGCGGACATATCATCCCCTTCAACAACCATCGGTATGGTCTTGTTAACGAATACCTCTTGACGTCTCCCCTGCGTTTCGAATGTATCATTTGTAAAGAAAGGAATACGGCATCTGGTGTGAAAAAAAATAGATATGATATCGAAATACAAAAACAATATCTTAATATGTGATAATTATGATTTCAAGATTGAATCCCTCGTTTAAAAAATCCTGTATGTTGTAATTGAGTTTGTTATCAATAAAAATTACATTTTTTTTTAGATTTTTATTTAATTTTGATTTTATGTTCTGTTTTGTAGGTTCTCTAAAAAAATCTTGTTTACAGAATGTAGTAAACTTAAATTATAAACAATAATTTTAAACCATGATGGACAATAAAAGTTGAGTTCCAAAAATAAACAAAGTAGCACTTCCATACAAAATACTAAATCACTATAATTGGAATAATTGCCAAATGAAGAAAGGAAGGAGCTGGTTCCAATGAATAATTGTTTGGAAACTATAAATTAAAAGGTTTTGAGAAATAAAAATAACAGCATTTCTTGGACATAATGGGCCTTTAATGATATTAACCAAACGGTTTTGATGAATTCATTTTATTTTCATTGCACATTTTGTGTCAAGTATAAGTTTAAATATCATGGCTGTTTTGAAGATAAAATACTTTTACAATATTTATATGAGTATCATTAATTTGACGATGAAATCTCCATGTAAAATTGATACATAGTGCACACACATTTCACACTTTCTATTATTTATTCGCGTAACATACATAAATGCGTTTACATAATTCATTTCAGATATAAAATGTTGCACATAAATAATGTCTTTTCAAGCAGCATTTGCTAGATCATTGTTTGCATTCAGTTTATGATCCTTCTGTCTTTTTTATGGTGGCTGATTTGGAACACTTTTGTGCGTCAAGTTGTCGCTAACGAGCACGATAAAGCGCCAAACGGCCCGTTGTCGCACTGTCGTTTTGTCTGCTTGTCGCTAATGATGAACGCCAAACGGCGCCGACAACGCGCCGCAAGACAACTCTCCGTTTGGCGTCCTTCGCTAGCGACAGGATAAAAGACGACAGTGCGACAACGCGCCGTTTGGTCCGTTTCGCTGGCGACAAGAAGAAAAGGCGATACTGACATAGGCTGTGTTGTCTCTATCGACAGCGCAACGCGTAAAGGGTACCAAATCAGCCACCATACTTTTTTCAATTCAAGCAACAATTTCTTACGGAAGCCCCGGACATTTAATATTCCGAAGGCAATTTATAACGTTGATTGTATTGCATACTTTTATAACAGCAGATACTTATTTTTTTCTAATTTCTTTATTTGTGAAATGCACTTCTTTCTAGTGAGGAAAAAACATAAATTAAATGTGAAAACAGTTGCATCGCGTGCGTTTGCACTATGAAACCACCATCGTTTGAACATAGTACGTATGTCGGACCGTATATGGCACAGACCGAATATGGCACACGTGAGACATATTCGGTTCGAATTTGTGACACGTGTGACATTTTACGTATGTACTGTACTATGTTTACAGTTTTGTGTGTGACTCAACTCACCCAGATCACCCGATGTTTAATTGTATAAATTAAAGATATCCTAACAGCTAACTTTTTATAGTACATTGGGTTCCCTTTCATAGTTCACAGCATCATCTGTAAAGCTCTTTAGCAGAATATGAGGGAATAAAATAGAGAATATTTTTCTGAAATTTTCATATGACAAATGAAGAAGCATGTTTTTCTTTAAAAAATAAATTTCGTGATATTTCCTAAATATCATGCTATTTTTTTTTTCGTAGAAACAATTGTTTACCATTGTTTACATACTTTAGAGCACATATAAGCTGTCAACACAGGGTACATATTGAATCAATAAATATAATACATTTAAACTATACTTTTGTTGTTGTTTATATTTTGCTAAATTTATGACAAATTATTTCCCAGTCAGCGTTATTTTTCTTTTCAGTTATAAGCACAAAACATGCATTTAAGCTGGCATTGAAATATTACAAAACACATTTTAAGAATAAAAGTTGTTGTCATTTCTGAGGCATAACGTGGCTTCGATGATGTTTTAAAATATTTCAGTTCATTTTAATTACTACATACCTATATAAGCAGAGAAACGGTTTTGAAAATAGCTACTTTTTATCACCTTTCCGTGCCAATTTAATAAGACTGTATCATTTAAACTTAATCAACGAATGCATTCATTTTGTTGTTTTCTTTTATGATAAAACTTTTCTTTTCTTGGAATCACTTATGCATTACATACGCATACTTTAATAAGTACATTCAATGTCTATATAAAACATTTAAAGGGTTACTAATATAAATTAGCAACGTATTTCAGAAAGTAAAGGAAAGCGGAATTTTCTAAAAGAGTTCCTGTTGTTAAAGTGATTGGTCTATAGCGGAAGAACTGTCATACAATAAATAATTAAGTTGGAAATATCTGGTATCAGACAAGCCTTGATATACATGTATATGCATATTGTTGGCAAGTGTGAGATACATGAGCCGGTATTGAATGTATAATATGTATATAGTAGATAATAAAATGTTCAAGAACAAAATATCATTATACATCATAATTATGAACGACAGAACTAAATGTCATAGAATTTTCTTTTCTTTTTTTCAAGAAATTATTTGTAGCAATATCCAAATGATACATTTCTTCTGTTGTTATCAATGTTTGAAATATTTATAGAAAATGTCCTCGATGTAGACCAATCCACTTTAAAACAAAATCAAATTGTATGTAAAATATAATGTACAATAGAGAGAAAAAAAAACAAAAATACCTGTATTTGGGTATGAACAGTGTGAATACGGATGACATGATCTGCATTCCGGCAAACATTGACGGCAAACATACAAACATAAACATAAAACCTTTACACTTTTGAAATAATTTCGAATTGAAAGTTTTTTTACTGATCGTTTTAGACTCCATGTTTCGGTCTGTCCAGATCCGCGCTATTGCTAAATCTCGTAATTCAACGTTTACATCATAATGCATGTATGCAGCAAAGAAATTTTGGTAAAGATATACGATAAGATTGATATAAGAGTATGTACAATTTGTACTGGTTTTACTTCATTATTTAAATGAAAGATTTACTTGTCACACTCAACAATAAGAGAAATTATAAATCAAATATGTTTATAATAAATTGTTTGTGTAACTGTGAGAAGCAAAATGCTTAATTTAATGCCTATGTTATACAGTTGTCTATTCTTCCGACTTATTAAAGGCCCATTGTGCCTCAGAAAAGTATTTAGCTTTGGTGTACATTTAAAGTTGTGTTTAGTAGTCCAAAAAGTTACTCATTGGCTAATTACTTTTTTTTATCTGTTGCTTTCTGGCAATAAGTACAGTTATAGTGAATTAGTATTATTTATGGAAGTCAAAATACTACATGTGCTTTGTTTACATTTTGCTACTTTTATGACATATTGGTTTACATTATTTGCTACTTTCTTCAGGTAACAAGTATCGAGCATTCTCTATATCCATAATTGAAACATTTTAAAATTCATGTTTGCCCTTTCGATAGAAGTAAAAATTGGCATATTGTGCCTTTAAAGAATATTGGTCTACAATTGGAATATTTCCATAAGTATTTTAAATATTGATAAAAAAAAAGAGAAATGTTTTATTCGGATATTCTTATAAAATATTACTTGAAAAAAGGAATTCTTAGTGATTAATTAAAAATAAACAATTATATGATGAAAAATAATATTTTGTTCTAAAACACTTTTTTATCTGCTATATAAAGATAATTCATAATAAATTATTAAATATTTTGTGGTTTTGTGTCACTCATGATACTCAATACTATCAACATAATTATTTACGGTATAACAGTTCTGTTCTGTTCTGTTCGGTACTACAGACCTATTATAGAACAATTCACTTTAAGACAATGCAGGGGAAGCATGGACGGTAGCTTGCTTGTATCACTGCCCTTCATGAACAGGCTCAAACAAACAAAGGCTAGCCTGAAGAAGTTTAAATTTAAGCCGCACATGACGACCTTTGATGTTTCCATTATGACTATTTTACTAATTAGTCTTGTTTAAAATGATAATTTTCCTACAGGAAATATACCGTCTTATTTACAATACAAAAATTAATAGTCTTTAAAGTTGCTTTTTATGTCTAAATTACAAAGAAAATAATATATGAGTTTTAAAGCTTATAAAGTATTTATGGAACAAAAACAGAAAATACCACGAAATTAGTCTTTTTAAAGTAACAAGACCAGTAGCGAAAATCTGTCAAAACGCTTGGAACAGCACACTCATTGAAGAACTGTTTTTCGTCAACTTGTGTTGTGAGACAATTGTATTTGGATTGAAAATAAAAAAAGAGGGAAAATAAGGCAGACGAAAACATGACTCCTGTCGAACATGTATCATTGTGTCTGACAGCAGGTAATTGTTTCTTTAACTAAACATGTATATGAGCCGCGTCACGACAAAACCAACATAGTGCGTTTGCGACCAGCATGGACCCAGACCAGCCCGCAGTCTGATCATGATCCATGCTGTTCGCTATCAGTTTCTCTTCATTACGTTGGTTTTGTTGTGACGCGGAGTATGTAAACCTGTCTTTTGATATCTGCATTGTAGATACATTTTATAATAAAAAAAAATTTCATGATACTGATATTTTCGATTTTTGATTATATTTTTTATTTTTACTTTTATTTATTTATTATCTTTTTCGCTTTCTAAAAGAAAAGTGTAATTGAAATCGTGCAAATTATGACATTTTTCTTTTATCGTTAAAGTGAATTTCTCATCACGAAATTAGAAATATTCCACATAATTCAATAAATCTATTCTCTACAAAATGTCGCCTGCTACAGATATATGAGCCGCGTCACGACAAAACCAACATAGTGCGTTTGCGACCAGCATGGATCCAGACCAGCCTGCGCATCCGCACAGTCTGATCAGGATCCATGCTGTTCGCATACAAACCCTATAACAATTTGAGAAACTGATAGCGAACAGCATGGATCCTGATCAGACTGCGCGGATGCGCAGGCTGGTCTGGATCCATGCTGGTCGCAAACGCACTATGTTGGTTTTTCTCGTGACACGGCTCGCATAATGAAATGTGCCAAGTTGTATCTTTACGTACAAGTTGCGCATATATTTGGAGAAAAACCCTTTCAGATTTCATTTTCTGCCCTAGAAATATGATCGAAATCTAAAAATGAGTCTCTCTGATACTGATTGTACAAACAGCAACAAACTCAAAATATTTTCTAAATTGTTGGTTGATTGAACTCTAATACTAAGAATACAAAGAAAGAAAGAAAGAAAGAAAGAAAGAAAGAAAGAAAATACAATTTATGTCCTTTTAAATAATTAAAAATGTCAAACATCAAGCCATAAAACTATACTTTTACATATTTTATTTTTGTTTCTCTTATATTTGAATTACAGTGATGTTGGTGTTGATGAGAACTTCAGTTGGATTGATGAGCATTAGAACAGATGGTAATTATACCTTTTATAGCAATTACAGATGGTGACTATATCTTTTATAGCAATGACAGATGGTAATTATACCTTTTATAGCAATGAAAGATGGTAATTATACCTTTATAGCAACGACAGATGGTAATTATACCTTTTATAGCAACAACAGATGGTAATTTTACCTTTATAGCAACGACAGATGGTAATTATACCTTTATAGCAACGACAAATGGTAAATATACCTTTTATAGCAATGACAGATGGTAATTATACCTTTATAGCAATAACAGATGGTAATTATACCTTTTATAGCAACAAAAGATGGTAATTATACCTTTAAAGCAATGACAGATGGTAATTATACCTTTATAGCAATAACAGATGGTAATTATACCTTTTATAGCAACAAAAGATGGTCATTTTACCTTTGATAACAACGACAGATGGTAATTATACCTTTATAGCAATGACAGATGGTAATTATACCTTTATAGCAATAACAGATGGTAATTATACCTTTTATAGCAACAAAAGATGGTAATTTTACCCTTGATGACAACGACAGATGGTAATTATACGTTTATAGCAATGACAGATTGTAATTATACCTTTTATAGCAATGACAGATGGTAATTATACCTTTATAGCAACGACAGATGGTAATTTTACCTTTATAGCAACGACAGATGGTAATTATACCTTTATAGCAACGACAGATGGTAATTATACCTTTTATAGCAACGACAGATGGTAATTTTACCTTTATAGCAACGACAGATGGTAATTATACCTTTATAGCAACGACAGATGGTAATTATACCTTTTATAGCAGCAACGACACATGGTAATTTTACCTTTGATAGCAACGACAGATGGTAATTATACGTTTATAGCAATGACAGATTGTAATTATACCTTTTATAGCAATGACAGATGGTAATTATACCTTTATAGCAACAACAGATGGTAATTTTACCTTTGATAACAACGACAGATGGTAATTTTACCTTTTATAGCAGCAACGACAGATGGTAATTATACCTTTTATAGCAACAACATATGGTAATTATACCTTTATAGCAACAACAGATGGTAATTTTACCTTTGATAACAACGACAGATGGTAATTTTACCTTTTATAGCAGCAACGACAGATGGTAATTATACCTTTTATAGCAACAACATATGGTAATTATACCTTTATAGCAACAACAGATGGTAATTTTACCTTTGATAACAACGACAGATGGTAATTATACCTTTTATAGCAACGACAGATGGTAATTATACCTTTATAGCCACAACAGATGGTAATTTTACCTTTTATAACAATGACAGATGGTAATTATACCTTTTATAGCAATGACAGATGGTAATTATACCTTTTATAGCAGCAACGACAGATGGTAATTATACCTTTTATAGCAACAACAGATGGTAATTATACCTTTATAGCAACAACAGATGGTAATTTTACCTTTGATAACAACGACAGATGGTAATTATACCTTTTATAGCAACGACAGATGGTAATTATACCTTTTATAGCAACAACATATGGTAAATTATACCTTTATAGCAACAACAGATGGTAATTTTACCTTTTATAACAACGACAGATGGTAATTATACCTTTATATAGCAACGACAGATGGTAATTATACCTTTATAGCCCACAACAGATGGTAATTTTTTACCTTTTATAACAATGACAGATGGTAATATAACCTTTATAGCAACGACAGATGGTAATTATACCTTTTATAGCAGCAACGACAGATGGTAATTATACCTTTTATAGCAACACAACAGATGGTAATTATACCTTTATAGCAACAACAGATGGTAATTTTACCTTTGATAACAACGACAGATGGTAATTATACCTTTTATAGCAACGACAGATGGTAATTATACCTTTATAGCCACAACAGATGGTAATTTTACCTTTTATAACAACGACAGATGGTAATTATACCTTTTATAGCAATGACAGATTGTATTTATACCTTTTATAGCAATGACAGATGGTTATTATACTTTTATAGCAACGACAGATGGTAATAATTGTACCTTTATAGCAACGACAGATGGTAATTTTACCTTTATAGCAACGACAGATGGTAATTATACCTTTTATAGCAACGACAGATGGTAATTATACCTTTATAGCAACGACAGATGGTAATTATACCATTTATAGCAACGACAGATGGTAATTATACCTTTTATAGCAACGACAGATGGTAATTATACCTTTTATAGCAACGACAGATCGTGATTATGCCTCTATAGCAACGACAGATGGTATTTATACCTTTTATAGCAGCAACGACAGATGGTAATTATACCTTTATAGCAACGACAGATGGTAATTATACCTTTATAGCAATGACAGATGGTAATTATACCTTTATAGCAATGACAGATGGTACTAAAACCTTTATAGCAACGACAGATGGTAATTATACCTTTATAGCAACGACAGATGGTAATTATACCTTTATAGCAACGACAGATAGTAATTATACCTTTATAGCAATGACAGATGGTAATTATATCTTTAAAAGCAACGACAGATGGTAATTTTATCTTTTAAAGCAACAACAGATGGTAACTATACCTTTTATAGCAATTATACCTTTAATACGAGGGTTGTTCAAAAAGTAATAGGACTGCAGCTCTACTGTTCACATTTTTTCATCTACGTACACGAGTTTACAAAAATCGAATATCGGAACTTGTCCTCTATATACAGTGAAAATATCAAAACAATATGTTTAAAAACAACAATGCTGTACAACTTACAAATGACAAGGGGTACGCGACCCGGCGCACGCTAATAGTTAAATAAATGACGTTCATGACGTCGTAAAATAAATTCAAAATGTAAACAGCGTCATTCTTTCTGAAATTATTCTCCACAATGTTCTAGGTGCTTGAATCATGTAACTATAACCAGAACTCATCTGTGGAGATGTAGCGAAAAAAAAAGCAATCACATTTTCATTTCTTTATTCGAAACATGCCCGGTGGCCGGCAACTTTCGGTTTTATCTCGTGATTTTGGGTATTCTGGAAGCTAAACGGGCATGGACAAAAAATGTTAATGACAAAGTGATTTATATTATTTATTTACACATGCCATCTTACATTCTTAAAACAATATGATTATGTACAGTAAATTAACAAGAGCTGTCGGTAGGACAGCATGCTCGACTATTCTTAGTGCTTGATAGTAAAAAAAATGCCTGATACAGTTACCTCCTCCTGTTTACAGGTTGGGGTCATGATGGTGAACAAGTGTGCAGAGTTTCAAAGCCATATGTCAATGGACTTTGAAAATATTTGAACTATTACAAAAACTTTAACGTAAATTCTAAGTCGAAAAAGGGGCATAATTCTGTCAAAATGCTTGATAGAGTTACCTCCTCCTGTTTACAGGTTGGGGTCATGATGTTGAACAAGCGTGCAAAGTTTCAAAGCCATATGTCAATGGACTTTGAAAATATTTGAACTATTACAAAAACTTTAACGTAAATTCTAAGTCGAAAAAAGGGCATAATTCTGTCAAAATGCTTAACTAGAGTTACCTCCTGCTGTCTACAGGTTGGGGTCATGATGTTGAACAAGTGTGCAAAGTTTCAAAGCCATATGTCAATGGACTTTGAAAATATTTGAACTATTACAAAAACTTTAACGTAAATTCTAAGTCGAAAAAGGGGCATAATTCTGTCAAAATGCTTGATAGAGTTACCTCCTCCTGTCTACAGGTTGGGGTCATGATGGTGAACAAGTGTGCAAAGTTTCAAAGCCATATGTCAATGGACTTTGAAAATATTTGAACTATTACAAAAACTTTAACGTAAATTCTAAGTCGAAAAAGGGGCATAATTCTGTCAAAATGCTTGATAGAGTTACCTCCTCCTGTCTACAGGTTGGGGTCATGATGGTGAACAAGTGTGCAAAGTTTCAAAGCCATATGTCAATGGACTTTGAAAATATTTGAACTATTACAAAAACTTAACGTAAATTCTAAGTCGAAAAAGGGGCATAATTCTGTCAAAATGCTTGATAGAGTTACCTCCTCCTGTCTACAGGTTGGGGTCATGATGGTGAACAAGTGTGCAAAGTTTCAAAGCCATATGTCAATGGACTTTGAAAATATTTGAACTATTACAAAAACTTTAACATAAGTGGTTACGCCGACGCCGACGCCGACGCCGACGCCGACGCTCGGGTGACTGCAATAGCTCTACTTATTCTTATCGAATAGTCGAGCTAAAAATGCTTATTAATTGAAAAATATTCTCTTCTTCTGAGCATAGGCTATCATTTATTAAACAAAATCGAGGAAAATTGATACCAATAATTACCGCGTATCATCAAATTTATTCAATGATAACACACACACATATATATATCTAATAAAATGAAATAGTGTTTAAAACAAATTTCCCCTATTCAATAATTTTCTTAGAACTGAAACAGTAGACCCGATGCAAACATCAAACATGCCGGACAGTTCGCGGACTGTATATCGCCGATACTTTTGTAGCGCTATTGCAATTAACGTCTCTAACGTCCGTCAATTTTCCGCTTTCTCCCTAGCCCTTTCGTGTCTGTGATCTCATATTCAGCGTCTTTGAACTGCTTTCCCCAGCCGAAAACGAGTGTCCTAGTTGCCTAATTATTGTTCTGTAAAAATTTAATCTTTTCATACGAAGCTGAAGGAGTAGGGCCTATCTGTTGGCAAAATTTAATAATCGTACACATTTTAAGTTTTTCAACGAACGTCATTTTTCTACATTTAAGGCTAATATCACTGCTTTTCAAAACGTTATAGTTTTCTTGTCTGAATTACGTCAAATTTGGATAACATGACACTTTAATACGATAAAATGTGTTGGTGAAATATTAGGGGGAACAGACAACATATTATGAATAAACTGAAAGTACAAATAAGCGTCAAAATATTTTTGATGCGCTGCGCCGGGTGCGTGTTACCATGGTTATCTAATATCACAGGGAACACGCGTTTAGTGCAATAATTCAATAAACTTATGCTAGAAAGTTGTAGAAAACAATTAACTATTGCCGTGGATATGAAAATATTTAAAATCTAATGGAATATGGAGACATAAGACTCTTAGTCCTATTACTTTTTGAACAACCCTCGTAGCAATGAAAAACGGTAATTATACCTTGTATAGCAAAGATTACAATTATGCCTTTTATTGCAATGGAAAATAAATATGGTAATTATACTTAGCAATGAAAGATGGGAATTGTGCCTTTTATGGCAATAGAAAATGAAGATGGTATTAAGACCTTGTATTGCAATTAAAGATTGTAAGTATATTTTTATAGCAACGAAGGGCGGTAATAAAAGATGTGCATTAATAAGACAGCTTAATGCTTCCGAAGAATCACCACCATTTTTCTCAGATTTAAAAAGTTGCCCTGTACTTCACTTCTATTTTGCCATGTTTTTTCTGGTCGTTTGAGATCATGAATTCCATACTCTTAAGTGTTTAAATATTGATTACCGCTTAAGCCCGTGCTAGCGAGCGTGAGAAATGCTATTTTTTATTCCTCATGTACAGGCTCAATCAAACCGAGTCTACTATTGTTCATGCTATTTTATTGTGATTAATGCTTCCGAGGGATCACCTGATTTTTGTAATCTTGACATTGTGAGTTCGATTCCCGGGGAAAAGTAAATTTACTAGTAAGTCTTTCGTATGAGAATTTAAATCGAAGTCCATTGTATGAGTGCCTTAACACATGGCACGCTCAAGAACCAGGAGAAGCTTTTAGAATTTGGGCTGTGTCCAAATCTAAAAATCACTAATACTCTTCTTATGGCTTGAGCAATCAATGACTATATATAAGGGGTTTTCCGATAAATCCAGACGTTTTTTGACAAATTTGACATGATGCTGAAAAGGGGAAATTGAGTGATACTGATTAGAAAACCAGAATGATCGAGTGCAAAGATGTTTGGAGATAAGTAATTCGTAAATCCAGTCGACATAAATCGGACAGGGATTTTTAAAAATCCTGACATTTCAAATTTGTTCTACAGAAGAATACTTAAATGTTTTGTTTGGTTTTCAAAAATTGATGCCAGAACAAAAATTACTTCTTATACACTGTCGTATATATTATACTTCAAGATATTTCACATGTATAACTACACGGTTTGTCTTTTCAAAAGAGCTCTTCCTCCTACGATGAATTATTTATCAACTTTGTTTCGCTAGATATTGATAAAACTTTCATTATTGTTAATCCTTAAAGGCGCATCATGCCTCAGAAACGATTTTTTATTTTCCTTCACGTTTGAATAATGGTTTAACCCTTTCCCCATGAGCATAATTGTGAAAAATGGCCATTTTCACTGAAAAGCCTCCTCTTACAAGTTCAAACTGCTATGAAACTATGAAAAATGCTTCAATACTAATCAAACTTGGCACAAATGTTGACTGGACCATTGCCTTTGTAACGACATGCTCAGTCTTAAATTTTCTGTTACCATGGCAACGAGGGGACATCTCAAAATTGCCAAAAATCACTATTTGCCTCGATTTTTTCCATCAAAATTTATTTCAAAGTGCTGCAACTTCTCAAGGGATTGAGATAGAGTCAAATGCTTTTCAGCGTTGATTACACGTTACCTTATGATCGACCTGGGGTCATTTTAAGCCTCTCACAAGTCCAAAATTTTCTTGGTGATGAGGGGGACTCCGCCCCCCCCCCCCTTCAAACCCCCCAAACAGAAGGGGGCACATCCCCCTTCTGGCAACCCCCTGATGTATCTTTTGGATGGGGGGCGGTGCCGAAAAAGTGCTCACTTTTTTAAGCAAAATTTCTCAAACGAAAACATGTGTTTAGGGCCCAAATAGGACATTTTTTTCTCTATTTCTGGCCTATAAAGGGGGGGGGGGTCTAAAGTGCGTTGTTTCGCGTATATATGAGGTAAAGGGTTAAGAGCATGTTTGATGTTTGATACCTGAAGAAAATAGCGTGAAATAATGTGTCATAAAAGTAACAAAATGTGAACAAAATAGTATTTAGACTTCCATACAAAATTACAAAATACTAAATGCCAGAATGCAACAGAATTAAAACAAAACAATTTCAGATAAATGCCTTTTTTATTATTTTTATTTATTTTTTTTTTAACTTAAACAGGACATCAAAAATGAAAAACTTTTGAGATATGAAAATAAAAGTATTTTTAGGCACAATGGGTCTTTAAACCGTAGACTATGTGAATATATTCTGTTAAAGCTGCTTATATACTATCTGTTGCGAGAATTTTGATTTTTTTTAATCAAACTTAAGAAGAAAAATAAGAAGAAATTGCTGTCTGCAAATAAAGTTTTGAATAATAATCATATACATGTACAATATTTCCGGTTCCAATGGTACATAACTCTCCAATGTGGCACTTGTTCTTTTTTCCCCGTTATGCCTGCAAAATATTTTCATAGCAAAATGTATTTTGTGTCACAATGTTACAGCAATCGCATATTTATTTCCCGTGTCCTCTGCTTTTTACCAGAATGTTTTTGTTCCCTTTTGTGCATGTAAAAATGTATGAGCCGCGTCATGTCAAAACCAACATAATGGATTTGCGACCAGCATGGATCCAGACCAGCCTGCGCATCCGCGCAGTCTGATCAGGATCCATGCTGTTCGCTATTAGTTTGTCTACTTGTAATAGAGTTGGTACGCGAACAACATGGATCCTGATCAGACTGCGCGAATGCGCAGGCTGGTCTGGATCCATGCTGGCCGCAAACCCACTATGTTGGTTTTGTCGTGACACGGCTCATATGTAAACATGTACATTTCAGAGGGTTTGGTGAATGTTGCACTCAACAAAGACATTGTCGTGGCTAATGTATCAGATGAAGATGTTGGTGTAGCCGTAGATGGTAAAAGAAGTTCTTGCATTATAAAAGACACAGGGCATGATATTTGGTGGCGAGTGGACCTTGGTGATCTTCACACTATTTTCGACATTCGAGTTAAACCAACGGAGGAATATTTTAGCCAGAAATGTTTGTTTATTTACATCATTATTCTCTTGATATGATTTCTAAATGTGTGCATGTTTCTCATATAAAACATTTCTATTGGTAATTTTTAATGCCTTTAAATGTCGGTTAATTGTTTCTGAAAATATAGAATATATATTTTTCTCAGTGTATCAGGGTGGGTTTTTTTTTTTTTTTGTTTTTTTTTTTTGTTTTTTTTTTTTGTTTTTTTTTTTCAAAGCTCATTGTTTTGTTTTTTTGTTGTTTTTTTTTTTTTTTTTTTTTTTTTCAAAAAAAAAATCAGTATGCCTACAAACGCTCATATAATATCACGTATCAATCGGTTTACTTTACTTTAAAAAATAAATTGGATATTTTGTATTCAATGTGACTTACTTAAGACGCAGAAAGAAAAACTTGTCACCAAAAACTAAGGGGCTACGAGGGTACGGTCAGCACTACGGTCAGTGGAAGGACATGCCAGCGCTGGGATCAACAAAAGCCCCATAAACATACATTCCACCCGGAAAATTTTTGGTATCGAGGATCAGATTTTTTGAAGAATAATTACTGCCGCGTTCCCAATGACTGGATAATGCCGTGGTGTTTCACTACTGATCCTGGAGTAGAAAGAGAATATTGCGATGTCTGGGTTAAGGAGTGTGTCAACGGTAAGCTATATGAACGACATGTGTTATATGAGCCGCGTCACGACAAAACCAACATTATGGGTTTGCGACCAGCATGAATCCAGACCAGCCTGCGCATCCGCGCAGTCTGATCAGGATCCATGCTGTTCGCTTACAAACCGTAAAACAAGTTGAGAAACTGATAGCGAACAGCATTGATCCTGATCAGACTGCGCGGAAGCGCAGGCTGGTCTGGATCCATGCTGGTCGCAAACACATTATGTTGGTTTTGTCGTGACGCGGATCATATGTCAACTGTAACTTGTATATTTGTACAAGGCGTATTACCCAGAAAAAAATACTGTGGTGCTATTTCAGAGTTATGCACCAAAGGGTGATATTAAGAAATATATTTTGGGCAGTATTCTTTATGACAGTGATTTTTATGTATCCCAGGGTGATACAAGAAATATCTCTCGGGCAGTATTCTCTATGACAGTGATTTTTATGTATCCCTGGGTGATACAAGAAATATCTCTCGGGCAGTATTCTCTATGACAGTGATATTTATGTATCCCAGGATGATACAAGAAATATCTCTCGGGCAGTATTCTCTATGACAGTGATATTTATGTATCCCAGGGTGATACAAGAAATATCTCCCGAGGAATATACTCTCAATAAGAGGGTGTAGTTGATCAAATTAACATAGAACGGGCACATAGGTCTATACATCCCCCACAAGGGTCAAGTAAAGCTGATTTTACATATAATGTTGAATCGGATGACGACAAGCCCCGAACGTATGGTCCGCCACGCAAACCTCGTAATGTATTTGTGAAATTTGCTTCTTTCAAGGACAGAGAACTTGTGCGAAATTCACGAGGTAAGCTTAGGGGTTCCTGTTTCTATGTCACTGAGCAATATCCTAAAGCTGTTAACGATCGTCGCAAAGCTCTTATTCCCAGACTCAGAGAAGCTAAAGCAAATGGCAGAGATGCATGGCTCAGCTACGATAAACTTTATATTGATGGCGTTCAACAATCTCTTCAGTCGACAAATAACATCAAATCATGTGATAATGTAGCTTCCAATGATAGCAATGCCGGTAGCGATATTGCTGCTTCGAGTCGAGGAGCACATCAACGTCGTGGCGGTGGTAGACCAGGTGGGCGTGGTCGAAACGCGAGTAGAGCACGTGGAGGTCGTGGTGTAAGTCATGGATCTGGCGGTCGAGAGCGTAATAATTCCAGTCTTTAGGATCGCGCGAGGGTGGATCTTCATATCATCTCCTGGAACGTTCATGGCCTGTGCAGGGACAAACTGGAAGATAAAGATTTTATAAATTATGTAGTACAAAATGATATTATATTTCTATATGAAACTTGGGCAAAAAAAGAAAGTGACTTGGAAATATCTGGTTTTAAATGTATTAACTTCTATAGAAAATTTCAAAATCGAAATGCCAAGCGATGTAGTGGTGGTGTTGTAATATATATAAAGAATGAATTAGTAAATGGTGTAAAAATTATTAAGTCACTACACGATACTGTTATATGGCTGAAACTTGACAAAACTTTCTTTGATTATGATGAAGATATTTATCTGGCAGGAGCTTATATTTGGGTTGAAAACTCGCCAGCCTATAATGTAATTAACTGTGACTTTTTCAATGAGTTGCAAACAGACATTACGCACTATCGGGAAATCGGGAAAGTACTGTTGTGCGGCGACTTGAATGCCAGGATAGGAAATAATAGGCATGATTATATTATTTATGATAACTATATTGACTATATTGATAATAATGATTATATACCTGATTTCCTCTTACCGAGGGCCTCTATGGATAAGAATACAAATGCACATGGTCTCAAACTCCTTGACCTTTGTAAATCCACGTCAATGAGAGTCGCTAACGGTCGTCTGCATTGTGATCAGTCTGGGTCATTCACCTATGCAAATATAGCAGGGTCAAGTGTCATTGATTACTTACTAGTGCATGATAATGATTTCAATTTTGTAAATAATTTCAAGGTAGAAAAATTTAATGAATGGTCGGATCACGCACCTCTATCATTTGATATATGTGGTAGTTTTATAAATAAAAGTAATGAAAATGAGCAAAGCACTGGTCATACCAGATATTTTTGGAATGATTTGTTGAAAGATGCATTCAGAATAAATTTGATTTCTAAATTACCAGAATTGAATGATGTGGTATTAAACATTGATGCTTCTAGTAAAGAGTCTGTAAACGATGGGGTCAATTTGTTTACAAATATAATTAGAAATGTGGCTGACCCTCTATTCTCCAGGGAGACAAAAAATAGAGTTGAGTATGCATACGAAAATAAGAATAGGTTATGCAAGAAATCAGACTGGTTTGATGAGGACTGCTTCGCAGCTAAATCAACCTATCTATCAGCTTTGTCACAATTTAATAGCTATAAAACTGTAGAAAACAGAATAAATATGTGTAATTCCAAATCATTATATAAAACTCTGGTTAGGAAGAAAAAGCGAAAGTATGAGTTTAGCAAAATGAAGCAAATAGAAAACTTAAGACATAAAAAACCTAGAGACTTTTGGAAATTATTTGGTAACAAAAAATCAAAGAATGGTAATATTAAATTAGAAGACTTTTTTGAATATTTTTCAAAGCTAAACGATGATTTAGCCGGAACAACAGTACCTGAAGCAGAAAATTTTTGTGCCAATGATTTTTGTGATCCAAATGATGTTATATTTGAAGAGCTTGATAAGCCATTCACAATAGATGAAATCAAGACTGTAATTAAATCTTTGAAAAGAAATAAAGCATCAGGAATTGATTGTCTTCTAAATGAATACTTTATAGAGTCATTTGACATACTAAATGGGCACTTAACAGACCTTTTTAACGCAATTTTGTGTTCAGGTTATTTTCCAGAACAATGGTCTAAGGGTATAATTGTACCTTTACATAAGAAAAATGATATAAATGATGTAAATAACTACAGGGGCATCACGCTTGTTAGTTGTTTAGCTAAGATTTTCACTGGACTGCTTAATAATAGAATAAAAAGATGGGGTGAATGTAATAATGTTTTTAGTGATAACCAGTTTGGCTTTAGATCAGGCAGATCTACAGTAGATGCAATCTTTGTATTAAATGCTGTTGTGCAAACAATTTTAAATGAGAAAGGTCGGTTATATTGTGCCTTTATCGACTTGCAAAAGGCTTTTGATAGTGTTTATTTAAACGGTTTATGGCTTAAGCTATTTAAGCTTGGAATTAATGGCAAAATGTTGAATATTATTAGAAGTATGTATAATACAGTTAAATCATGTGTCCAATGTTGCAACTCTTATTCTGAGTTTTTTAAATGTGCAGTTGGTTTAAAACAGGGAGAAGTTATGTCCCCTTTATTATTTTCATTATTTATAGAAGACTTAGAGTTATTTTTGCAAGAAGATTACACTTGTGGCCTTACGATAGATGACATTACCTTCATTTTGATGCTTTTTGCTGATGATATGGTTATATTAGGTAGAACACCTTCAGAACTTCAAAAACACTTTGATATGCTGAAAATATATTGTGATAAATGGGGATTATCAGTAAACACTAGCAAAACTAAAGTAATGGTTTTTAGAAAACGTGGGAATACAAAGCAAAATGAAACATGGACCTATGCTGGCAATAGCGTAGAAGTTGTAAATGATTTCAATTACCTTGGTACAGTGTTTAATTATACTGGAAACTTTGCATCTAATCAAGAATACATAGCTGGGAAAGGACTCAAAGCCCTTAATATCTTAATGACTAAAATTAAAGCTTATAAAATAAGCCCACAGACTGTGTGTCAACTCTTTGATGCTTTTGTAGGTTCAATTCTAAATTATGCTTGTGAAATCTGGGGTTTTTCTAAATCAAAAGAAATTGAACGAATACATTTAAAGTTCTGTAAACAACTACTTAATGTTAAAACTTCAACAAGTAACATGGCCATATATGGTGAATTAGGTAGATATCCTCTTTACATAAACAGATATACAAGAATGATAAAGTTTTGGTGTAAAATACTGACATCTGATAATATTATTATAAATACTCTGTATAAAGAATTATGTAAATCAGTAGATACTACAAATGTTAGGAACTGGGCAACAAATATTAGGTCCTTACTAAATGACTTTGGTTTTTCATATGTGTGGAATAATCCTAATGCTGTGAATATGAATACTTTCCCAGACATATTTAGGCAGAAAGTATATGATGTCTTTGCACAGACATGGTTCAATTCTGTAAATAATTCAGAAAAACTTTATTTATATAAACACTTTAAAACATGTATTGATTTTGAAATTTACCTGAATGTGTTGCCTAGCACCCTTCGGAATTCACTGTCCAGATTAAGGTTGTCATCCCACAAGCTACGCATAGAAACTGGTAGATATGCACAGAACCGAATAGAACGAAACCAGCGTTATTGTACTATCTGTAACGAAAGAGATATAGAGGATGAATACCATTTTGTTATCAAATGTAAAGCCTACATGCCTTTAAGACAGATGTATATAAAACCTTATTTCTATAGAAATCCTAGCGTGTATAAATTTAATGAATTATTACAGTCAAAAAAGGTTGGTGTAATAAAAAAATTAGGTAAATTTGTTTATGAAGCGTTTAAGCTTAGAGAAACATTAAATTGACATGAAATATTTGTGAAATGTAAATGTATGATACCTGTTTTAAAAATAATTCAACATGCACAGGCCTGCATTACTTTTGTATGTTTTTTGGTTTTTTTCTACACTCTACAGTACGGTAAAATTGTAATAATAGATAATTTATTAATGTTATAATACAGTAAACTAAATTTATGTCTAGATTTGGTATCTGTTCATGGTATTGTAAGATTTATGTTTTTTTTTTTTTTTTTTTTTTTTTTTTTTCCTCTCTGTTTTTTCACTTATAAAAATGTATGATATATATGTTTTAGAATTATGTACAAAGATGTATATCATAGAGATGTATTATAAGTTATTTCATGCAGCGACATTTGCTAACAAAACATAGTCACAACCTATGGGCTTTTTACATAATCTTGGAACAGTGTTTACATCATGTATATATAAACTTGTACATGTGTACTATACATCAGTTGAGAATTATCTAATATCATGTTATTACGGGCAAATGTCGCTGCATATATTTGTTTGGAACACCTGCTCTGTACATTTATGTAACATACTGTCATATTTTTAACTTACCTACTCAAATATATATCCAGTAATGCGGTCAAATATGTTGAAAAACATCTAAAATCTTTTTCCAGTCATGAAGCGTGGTCGCAAAAAGGCGTGACGGTTTATTATTTCCGGTCTCCATATTTGGCATGGGGACGGTAATGATTGGTTGATATTAGTAAATAACAATGACGTCGATAAAGTTTATGAATGGGCAAATGAGTGTTTACTTTCGGTTTTCCTTATATGGTAATGTTTACTACGGAAATAGCTTACAGGTATTCTGACCCAATTACGGATATATTCACTGAATTTTACACCTTCATGTATATATGTAATGGACCGAATGGACCACTCTCACTCGAATGCTTGAATTGACTTGTTCATTATTTAGCAGTTATGAACTTGATTATTTATATAATGATTTATGTACATTATGTTTGTGTATATGTATATGACGAGAAACTATGTAGTTTAAGTCAATAAAATGTTCTTCTTCTTCTTCTTCTTCTCAATAAGCTATGTTCCAGCACAAAACATTGGTATATGGGAGTTTTACAATAAATGATACATTGAGGTAACAATGAAAGATACATGAGGTTACAATGAATGATACATTCAAGTATCATTGAATGATACATTGAGATTTAAATGGATGATACATTTTTGGA